TTTTTTTTTTGTTTTTTGAATTGTGTGATTACTGCACATATGTTGCGAAAATATGAGAAAATTATAAAGGTTATGCAAAGAGAATATCGAAAAAATAGGGTAATGAAAAATTAAATCTCCGGGCAGAAATGTTTCGGTCCATCAAGTCGTATACATTTCCGTTCAACACTGCGCCTGAACCTCGCTTGTTTTCGTTTGTATTTTTTATCAGTTTTTTTATTTTCACTGTTGTTCTTATCTTTATTGTTATTATTAAACTCTTAGAGTTATTATTATCTTGGTATTATTATTATCGTTATTATTACACGCTTGGCACTGTTATTATCTTGGTATTATTATTGTCATTATTATTATCTTGGTGTTATTATTATCATTTTTATTTTTATCTTACGCCCTTGGTATTATAATTATCTTGGGATTTGTTGTGTTCGTTGCCACACACGTCGAGTTCGATTTTATTAGTAACACCAACACTTGTAGTTACGAAGCTCCGAGCCTATGGTTCTTCGGTTGGTGCTGACCGGGGGTCCGCAAGGCCTTCACACTCCACGTTCCTTCGGAGCCAGTGTCGAGGCTGCTCCTTGAGTAGATGTTGTCATTTTGTGTCGGCCGCGCAGTTCTGTCGATAGCCAAAACACCGACCTAAACTCCTCAAGTCAGTCTACGCTCCGGATCCGGGTTCTGCGCTGGAAAGTTCTGGAAGGGGAGAGCAAGATCTCTAGCTCTCAACAGGATTCTCAGTATTATTATTGTTATTTATATTACTGTTACTGGAATGGATAATTGTAGGCTTGAACAAACATCAGCTGTAACTACAAATGCAGTTGTGCTAAGTGGAGCAGTGCCACCAGAGATGGGGCTCAGTGCAACAGGATCATATACTTTGGCTTCGGATAGTCGTAAACGATCACCTGCTGGAAGCAGTTACAACGTGAGTACAGGGCGACATGTATGTCAGGTTTGCATCGTGTTTCATTACTCTACGGCTTCCATGGACTCCAGGGTGGTAGAGCTGTTTCCCTTCGAAGAGATGGCCCAAATCGAACAAGCGATGGGTGACGCATAGCTTTGACGATGATCCTGGCGTGAGGAAGGACGAAGCTGGACGACGCTGATGCTGAACCTTCCTGTCGAGACACTGGGCAAACCAAAACACAACTTTATCAAACAAAACACGCTAAAAATACAGTCGAAATTCTGGATGGCCTGACGAGGAACGAAACGCCGTTCCACAGCTGCCCATGGAGAACACGTTGAAACACGCACTACTACGTTAAAACAAAATCACATGCTTTTATACTCATCACTTCGGAAGGGGAAAATCACTGGGGGTTAGGAGATCTGCTGCGGTTCGCTTCTGGGTCGTTCTGCCTCTTTCCTGCGCGTCTTCATTAGCTCTTCGTACATGTGCAATTGAGGATCGAAGGACTTGGCACAGTTGTGTTCAGCGTATGGGAGCATCGAAGTAGCATCAGTAGCATGGGCTACCTGAAACTGAATAGACCGGAAGACAGTCTTGCTGGTCTTAGTAAATAACTTCAGCGTTTTGTGCATAATGAAATTGAATATATT